CCTATCCTCTGTGTCCCTGCTGCTGTCAGTTATGTGGGCAGCACATCATCCATAAATTCATCTTAGTATCACTCAACGTTACGTTTGCCTTTGCAAAGCAAAATCTGCAATGAATAATTGCTTTGGCCCTATAAATTAGCTTCTTTGAACAACAAAGTAAAGAGAAAAGCATGACTGTTGATGGAAATTGGGCGAGGGGGACGTGAGAAAAGAAACAGAAGAGGTATGGAAGAGAAGGAAATACAGACAACTATTAACTACTGCCATTAAGGTGGTGGCAGCTTGGGTCAGCCAAATTTAAAGGACCATCCTGAGAAGGGCAAGCAGGGAAAAAAAGCTGTGATGGTTAGAATCCTCCACCAATACTGAGTAGAGTCGACAGTCGCTAGGAAGGCACTCAACTGGTGTTGCACTCCCCTCATTTCCTGGAGAGAATCCTGTGCTGGAGCAAGATCCCAGACCTGAAGAGCTCTGTAAGCTTATTTTGCTCATCAATGCAAAAGGTGATTAAATAAGAGATATTACTTCACTCATCTTGTCTCTCTAATAGCCTGGGACCAACATGGCTGCAACAACACTATATACAAAGTAAAATCCTGGCACTTAAAAAGAATCTGTATATTTGATACCCTATAGGAATCTGCACCAGTGAGCTTTTAAGCCATTATCATTGCTAGAGATGGGCCTTGGCCAAAACTGCAAACCCAACCCCTCTATCTCAATGTCAGGTTTCAGAGGAATTAGTCTGGAATCTCTGGATCCTTCCAGTCTCTTGAATTGGTACCAACATTTGTTTTTCCCTGACCCAAGATGGCAAGATTCTTGCAACCATAGCTGTTTTCAGAGATGCTAGTGCTGTTGAACCCAAACTAGTTTCACCTCAAATCTGAGCTCCTGCCCCAATGTGCTCACTGTACCTTACAGCCATCTCTGGGCCCCAATCTTGCAAACACTTATGCACATTGTAACACTGGTGTGACTCACCATCATGGCACCACCTGCTGGTCACACTGAGAATTAGCTCTGTCCTCAGCAGGGCACCCACCCTTTTCTGGCCAGCATCTCTCCCATCATCACTCCATGCTTTCTCCATTCTCTGCAGTCACATCACTCCCATCACCATTGTGTCCTGGTCAGGGCACTGCCCCCCAAGCATTGCCCACCACACTGGTTTCCTGCTCCCCCTTCCAGTGATTATTAGCAGTCCTCATTCTCACCTGCCACTGTGGCCAACTGCAGCCCTTGTTTAGGCCCTCATCTCAGGGGCAAGCCACAGTCTATATAGGCTATCTCTGGTGATAAGGTGTGGCATAAGGGGGTGGGGGACAGGTCTGTCCACTACCCTGAATCCCAGCCCAGGGGCCTTGGAGGCAGCCTTGTCCTGCCCTCTTTCTCCCCCTCTACTGCCTACTTTTCCCTAGATAACTTCCTCTGAGGCCTATAGCCTGGCAGGTGTCAGGCCAGAGTCTCTCAAACTTCTGCTCCTCTGAGCCTGCCCAGCACTGCTTTCTCTAAAGAGGTTTCCCTATAAACTAATCCTGCACCCTCCCTAGTCAGGACCAACTGCTCTCTGTCTGTGAAGCAGCTCCTTATATACAGAGCTGTTCCAACAAGCTGCCCTCTGATTTGCGTCTTAACAGCCTCTCCCTGATTGGCTAGGGCTCTGACTAGTCTTCTTTAGCCCCTTTTGGCCAGAATGGAGCAGCCACCCCACTACACATGTGCATACATTTCATACCGTCGGCTGATGTCAAGGATGGGGAGCAAGTATATTACTGCCTTTATAGAGCACCTCCTGTCAGTAGCTAAAAGTGATGCTAAAGTAGATGAAATGTAAAATCAGAGAAATACTTTTTTACATGCCTGCAGAATTGAGGCGCTCCTCATTACAAAGCCTTGAACAGGTACAAATATTATGTGTACCAGTTAATTAACTGTGCACACTAAGAAGAGTTTTGTGTAAGCTTGAAAGCTTGTCCCTGATCAACAGAAGTTGGTTCAATGAAATATGTTACCCCACCTACCTTTTGGGCTCATTTTACCTGCTACTTTGAGTGTCTCTAATCATAGAATCATAGAACCCATAGAGCTGGAAGAGACCTCAGAAGGTCATCAAGTCCAGCCCCCTGCTCTAGGCTGGACCAATCCCAGCTAAATCAATGTCAAAAACTATTACAGCACAGATCAGTTATAAGATTTGCATTAATTAAACCTGCTCTAATGGCTTGGCACAAAGTTTCTATAAAGATTCATATCCTGTACAGCAGCTGATCGGAACAGAGAAATTCTTAGGATTATCTAATTACTGAACTCATTTATGCATCCACTAATGGCCTCTTGCCTACTCTTGTTGTCCAACAAATTGATGATTGCTTCTTGCCTACAGTAACTACATCTGTTTTGCCTGTGATTTATTTTATGTTACCAGTGCTTTCCAGTCATATTATGACAATATGAAGTCATGCTGAAAATGGTGGCAACACGTTTCCAATAGGATGTTTGTGGCGAAGAACTGTTCTTCAGGGTCCTGCAGTCTGCCTTATACAAGCATTTTAAACATCAGATGATTGGAGCTGTGTGTATTTCCCATGCTTGTGCAACCCTAGCAATCTTTTGATGAGAGGTAATTCATAACATCATGTGGAACACATGCACTCTGTTTCTTGCTGCTGTCGTTTCCTTTTTTCTTAAAGGTGAGTGGTCTTTGACTTTTTTTTAAAAAAAAGAGAGGGCAGAGGAAAGATGAGATCTGTTTTTTACAGTTGTTTTTAATCAGTTTGGACTTGGGTTCAGCACTAATAATTGGCATGCTGCAGGAATTGTATGAATCCCAGCTTCTTTTGTTAAACAGTTTTAACATTTCTTCTTATAGAGTTGTAACAAATAGAAGCCCTGATTTGGCATGCCAAATGGGTCTCATGATTCCACAAAGCCATTTAAACATTAATCAAAAAGTTGACAAAACCTCAATATGGTTTGAAGGTTTATCTCAAAATGAATATGTGCTCTAAAGAGCTGAGGAATCTGCAGAAATAGGTGTTGCTAAATAGCTGCTTGAGCTAGCCTTAAAGGTGGCTCTGAACAGTGCACCTTACCTATGCAGAGCAAAGATCTCCTTTTTGCTATTACTGATGTTCTGGGATGACTGCAACTCTAATCGGAATGTTGAAACACTGATTTTTATATATAGATGCTGTTATTGTCTACAATGGATTCTGGATGTGTAGTAAATGCATTTAATTCACATACTGTGGAAACATAAGCTGGTCAACAGCATTTGGGAAGGAGCTGGCAAAAGGCTGAATATGAGTCTTAAAACACATCTACAAAAAAGATCCAGGTACATTTAATCCAGGGGAATCTTGGCATACTGATAATTATAGGTGAGATATCACTAAACGATTAGAGCAAGTCTACTGACTAAAAAGTTAATTTTCCAGAAATAGGAAAGTATAAAGCTATTTTAACCTGGCATGTTGGTTTAAATAACCTTACTAACCCTGAAAAAAATAGCCTTCAAAATGAGTAGTACGTGGAGGTGTTTAACTGTATGTGGTCTGACATTTACCCCCTCTCAGACTAAATGTCAGCAGAACTTCTAGAAGAGGTCAAAGGGTAGATATTTTGTTTCAAAACATTATAGATCAGCTATTGTGCAGATGAGTATTTCTGCTTCTCTTCTGTTTGCTGGAAAACACTAACCCAAATATATCCTAGCAACTGAATGTAAATCTATATTCAGTCATGCTGTCATATTTTAAAGATTGACAGAGCCTATGTAGCTATTCCAGATTTACACAAGTGTTGCTGAAAGCAGAATTTGACTTGTTAGTTAGTCTCACCAGCAATGGTGAAATATAAAATTATCCATAAAGGAAGATGAGATCTGATTTTTTTAAAATGAAAGGATATTGGCATATCACATCCAAGTACCAAAAGAATATCTCCTTAGGACAAAGCCACTAAATTCCATGCAGGATTTGTCTCTTACACAGTTTTTAACTAAGAATGGAAGCATAGTTTAAGGGATAGAAGATTCCCAGTTGTGCTTTGAGCTCTTCAGTTTACAGCATAAAGTACCACTGACAGCAAAACCAGCATCAAAAGGGACAACTACAAATAGAGTGTACTTCCTTTGAAATGTGAATCATTTAAAATACTTGTTTCCTTGTTTATAATGAACAAGCTATTAGCATCATTGTAATCATTCAGTAAAGAGCTTCAGCCTCCTGAGGGAGTAACATTTCCCTGGAACTGGTGGTAGAAATGTAGCCGTGTTAGTCTGGTGCAGCTGAAACAAAAAACAGGACTGTGTAGCACTTTAAAGACTAACAAGATGGTTTAATAGGTGATGAGCTTTCGTGGGCCAGACCCACTTCCTCAGACCAAATAGTGGAGGAAAATTGTCACAACCATATATACCAAAGGATACAAATTTTGAAAAAAAAATAAAAAAAATATGTGTTTCATATGTGTTCACTTTTTTTTATTTGTATCCTTTTGTATATGGTTGTGACAATTTTCTTCCACTATTTGATCTGAGGAAGTGGGTCTGGCCCACAAAAGCTCATCACCTATTAAACCATCTTGTTAGTCTTTAAAGTGCTATACAGTCCTGGTTTTTTGTTTCACCTGGAGCTGGTGATATTAAAAAATGCAGTTTTAGCTCCTTATGGGCCTACATTTATAAGAATTTTTTCCCTCTGACAACACACAACTCCAATCCGTTTTTGTAGCACTGAGGGACTAGGTGAGCCAGAGAAAAGGACTCCAGTGTCAATTATTTCCGCTCCAGTGTCAATTATTTTAATATATTATCTTTTAAGCTCCTTTTGTGGAGAAAAATAAAATCTCCATCTATCAATTCATTTTATTCTTCTATTTTCACCTTAAATAAAGACCAAAAGCAGTCTCTTACTTCACACTTACACGAGTTTTTGCATTTCTCCAACTGGCAACACAAATAACACCAGCAGCTTTATCTTTTAGTCCAAACATCTGGCCCTTATGTTTGTAACAAACCTGTGCAAATTAGTTGTGCATGTTGAATGGCTGATTATTTGATTTTTCAAAGAAAATAGCATTTGGCCATGTGATTCTTCGTGAGTTGTTTCAAAATCAGAAGCCTATATGGTCTCTTTTCAGATTGCAGTTGTTCAGAAGCAGAACACAGGCTATTTGCATCCTTGTTTGCCAACTACAGTCAGTTTATCAGACCAGTGGAAAATGTATCAGATCCTGCCATCATTCAGTTTGAGGTATCCATGTCACAGCTGGTGAAGGTGGTGAGTCCTGGCTTTTTTCTGAGTATTATTGTCATATTATTGGGCCAAAGAAACAACATCAGTGTTACATTATTGGGCCAAAGTAAGGCCCACCCCTTTGTCAACATGGCTGTGTTTTTCAGGATGAAGTAAACCAGATAATGGAGACCAACTTGTGGCTGAAACATGTAAGTAAATATAATCCCAACATTGATAACATCAGCTCAGTTAATTTTTCTTTTAATGTCAATATGTGAGGTTTCTTGCTGAGTCCTCCAAAGCAATCTGAGAAGCAATATATCTCACTGACCATGCTTTGTGTAATGTTCATTAGTATCAGCTTAATTAGTAAAAAAGTGACATTGCATGTTACATTTATATGCCACTTTTTATCCAGATATCTCACTGCAAAATGGGCAGGTGGAAAAGCATTATAATTGCAATATCATAATTGGGTGAACTTAACAGAAAGGTTAAATGAGTTGGCTAAGATTCCACAGCAAGTCAATAAACAGAATCTGCAGACTCCATGCTCTAATTCAGGAAGGGAAGGGGTCTCAAAGTCCCAGCCCACAGGCCATCTGTGGCCCATGAACCTCCCCAGTCCAGCCTGAAGATGCCTCCACTGGAACGCAAAGCGTGTTGGCCAGTGGACCACCCCAGCTGATGTACTTCTCCACTGCTTTTGTATATTTTGGTCAGGTGAATTTCAATTCCACATAATCACCTGCTTGGGTTTTGTTTTGGTTAATGTGGGAGGGAGTGGGGATTCCTGTGTGAGGGCATAACTATTGAGGGGAGGACTTAGGTTTCAGTGACTCCTTGACTGTTTGCTCTGAGCTGCTGAAACCCAAACCATGGGTTATAATTAATTAAGGGGAGCTATTTAAATAGCAAAATGTGTATGAGCTGATTCAAGTTGTGTTTTGTATTATTTCATCTTCGCTGCCTGTTCTGCTGACACACACACACACAAATATCTCTCTCTCTCTCTCTCTCTCACACACACACACACACACACACACACACACATTTTGCTTTTGTGTCATTATTTCTGAGATGAAGTGGCTCTGTCCAGCCATAGGGAGACCTTTCTCCCTTCTGAAACAACCCTGAGTTACACTTCTTACCGAAAGCAATATGCTTATGAGCCAGGCACTTTGTGGAGGAAACCTGCTTTAGCCATTTGTTATTTCAGGCTAAAGTGCCCAGTAATAACTCTCCTGGCTTTTGCTCCTCTGGGATGTTGCATAGGGCTTTTCAGGAAAAAAAAAAGAAAAAAAAAACAACTTTCAGGAGGCTTGTGATCAACTCAGGAGAGTTGGCATCACTGATGCTAGTCAGTTTCACAACATGAATGTATCATTTCACAGTTTACTCTAGGGAGGAGATGGCTCTGTACATGCATGGAGCATGGAGCTAGCACCTGGAAGCTACTCTGGGGTTGGTGGTGGCAGGGCTCACCCAGGGAAAGCAGGCGGGCCCAGGGCGTGTGTGGTGATGGAGAGAATGCACAAGCCAGCAGGAGACACTGGGCGACACGTGGGGTGGGGGGAGGATGCACAGAGACACAGCCCCACCTAACCTCTGCCAGAGATTGAGGACTGGCACTGGTGCTAAGGTAAATAGAGTTAAGACCCTTGCTCCACCCTTCAAACACATTGGGTTGTTCCCCGCAACCATTACATCCCATGCTAGAGTTCCATTCTCTAACCACTAGGCCATCCTGAATCCCCATATTGCCATTCAATATGTTTGATTAAAAATCTAAACTGCAAACAGGAATGATTTGTAAATAGGAATATTTAAGGCAAATGCAAGGAATACCAGTTAAATAAGCTGACATGGACATATTTTAGGAGGAACAGGGAAGGAAAATGATAAACAGTTTACTAAATACAAACTGCTTCTTCTATGGAAGGGTAACTATTATGTAACATAAATAAAACATTCCAGTCAGGAAATGCCTCATCATGCTCAAAGATACTGGGATACTTTTCCTGGCTAGCATTTGTATTGATTTATGTTGTGTTTAAGGAAAGGAAAGACCACAGCATCTGAGGTTGCTGGTAGGATACTCTGGTGCTTTGACTACACTTACCTTAATGCACTGCTGACATCTACTGGTCAGCTATTTATTTGCATTGAATAATTAAGAAGCCTCCAGTGGATTTTAGACAGTAGTGGGCAATGATTTTTGATGGGGGGCCACTCTAAGAATTTGTAAAGTGATTGAGGTCCATATTCTTCCATGAGATTAATGGAGGAGGTGCAGGATCTGGGATGGAGGTTGAGTGCAAAAGGGAGTTTGAGGTAAGGAAGGGCATGTCTACACTACAGCGCTAATTCAAACTAAGCTAATTCGAACTAACGCGTCTAGAACTAAACACTAGTTCGAATTAGCATTTTGCTAATTCGAACTAGCAAGTCCACATTGAGTGGCCCCTGAACAGGGCTTAAGGATGGCCGGAAGCAGTGCCGGCAGGGCATCAGAGGAGGACTTAGAGCGTGGAGATGCTGTCTCAGGCTAGCCGAGGGCTGCGCTTAAAGGGTCCCGACCCCCACCCCGGACACACAGTTCTAAGGGGTGCCCCGCTTGCAAAGAAGTTCTGGCTTGGAGTGCCCTGAGTGCCCACACTGGGCACATCACACCACTCGGCCATCAGCCCAGCTGCACTTGCCGCAGGCTGCCATCTGGGGAGAGGGAGTAATTGGGGGGCTGCAGGAGAGCTTCCACCCCCAGAAGCCCGCAGAGCCAGCCCAGTCCTCCCCATCGGGGGCTCGTACCCCATTCCTCCCTCACCTCCTTCCACTTACCCTTCCCTAGCCCCCCTTCTTATTGATGTACAAAATAAAGATAACGTTTCTTCCAACATTGACTCTGTCTTTATTGAACAAAACTGGGGGAGACTGGGAAAAGGAGGTGGGAGAGGGGAAGAGAAAGGCTGGGAGAGGGGAGGGCAACTAACATGATCAGGGGTTGGGAACAGGTCCCAGATGAAGAGAGGCTACAGAGACTGGGACTGTTCAGCTTAGAAAAGAGGAGACGGAGGGGGGACAGGATAGAGGTCTCTAAAAGCAGGGGTTGGGTGGAGAGGGTGCATTCAGAAAAGTTCTTCCTGAGATCCCATAAAGAAGGACTAGAGGACACCAAAGGAAAGGAATGGGTAGCAGGCTTGAAACTAGTAAGAGAAAGTTGTTGTTCTTGACAAAGCAAATAGTTAACCTGTGGAACTCCTTGCTGCAGGAGGCTGTGAAGGCTACAACTAGAACAGAGTTTAAAGGGAAGTGAGATCAAGTCATGGAGGTTGGGTCCATGGAGTCCTATTAGCCAGAGGGTAGGAGTGGTGTCCCTGCCCAAAGTTTGTGGAAGGCTGGAGAGGGATGGCACGAGACAAATGGCTTGGTCATTGTCTTCGGTCCATCCCCTCCAGGGTCCCTAGGGTTGGCCGCTGTTGGCAGACAGGCTACTGGGCTAGATGGACCTTTGGTCTGACCCAGTACGGCCATTGTAAGCTCAGGGCTCAGTGTCGGGGGTCTCAGTGGACCCCCTTGATTTTCATGCACACCTGGTCCTGGGTGGCCAGGCTGGCAGCTCTCCTGCCCTAGACGGCCACTTTCCTGTGCCTAGTGCGGAG